TTTGTCCAAGCGACACAAAAGCGAGCGTCGTAAATCATTCGACCGAGTAACGGACATTTTTCGCGAGTAGAATACTATACTTTTTTCATGAGTTATAACAGGAATATTTTTCCCATTCTCATGTGCGGAGAATATCCAGATGTGCGGAGGATATCCAGAATGAGAGAAATACCATTACATTCCGTAACAAGAAGCAACCTAAAAAATCATTCAGTAATATTTTCTCATTTTGTTGAAATATTTAATTTCCAATTGTTTGAAAATCGATTGAAAAAAAAGGAAAAAAATGACTTCAAGCCGATATTGAATGCAGGATATCTGGCATTCAAGTCCAAGCTTGCAAACAGGTGTAACATAAAGATATTTTTATCCCATTTTGTTATCAAGTGAGGAACTTTTGAACACCCTGTGAATTATGATTTAATATGTATTTTTTTATTAGTTTTACGTGTTGCAATATGTTTTGAAACTATTTTTTCCAGCTGTCATTCAGAAGACACGGGCCTGCTTTCACCTTCCATGCCAGAGGTACTGTTCACAAGCAGACTGTTGACATTAATCTGGATTTTGTGCCTTGTTTCTTATTTCCTGGCTCACAATACCCTACTTGTGGATTTTTATTNGTTTATCGTGGGTTCACAGAAAAAAAATCTGTTTAAAATCTGTTTTTCCGTTAATCAGCTGTCGCCCTCATACGAACGACAACTCTCAGAAGTTGAGAAACTTGTGTGAGCTAAGGACTAACGAGGTCTTACCTTTTAACGTGTGAATCCTGTTTAAAAAAAACTCAAACCATTTCATTTACGAGTAATAAAAAATATTCAGCTTATTTACGCCACCGAACATCGCACTTTCAACTAAACTTCCCCGATCTGCGTGTTGGTAGTGTTTATATATCATAATGGAAGTCTTTGGAAGCCGATAGTTGATGAAAGAAATTGTATGAGCTGCGAGAAAGTTCATTAACATGTTTGTTAAATCTTAGGTCAGTATCAAGCCAGAGACCCTTCCACTCTGATTTCCTGAAAACTCATTACCGACTTTGAATTTGTGTTGAATTATTAAAAAATAAGTCCAAATCATCATGATTTTGATTCCAAACAGAAACTAAAGAGTTTTAATACATCAGAATTTGTCTTTTGCTAGGATTACTATCCTCGAAGTTAGACAGAATGCTGATTGAATGATAATTTATCAACAGAAGGGATTCAGTAATGCAAAAGTTTAACTGATTGTTAGATCAAGGGTCGTGTATCCGGAGTACTCATATTGATCTTTTGCGTGTGTCTGTTAAGATGATGGCATCATTTCGCCAATTTATCATTTGTATTTTCGTCAGTTCTACAAATCTTTTAGATACAAAAATATTCAAACCTGAATTGAGTCGTTTATATCGGTGGTTTTGGGATGTGTTTTCTCCCCAAAAGGAAAAACCACATAGTTTTTTATGAGAAAGAAATTAGAGAACACGTTCAATAAGAAATTTTTTTCAGCCTGACATATTCATTGTTTCGAAACCAGTTAAAACTAATAATAAAGGTACAAGGTATTGGCGAGTATCATTTCAAGAGCAAGAAAGATATCTTATCAATGGAAAAGAAAAGCTCAAACCTGTTCTAAGATTACTTAAGGTATACTTTTTATCAAAACCAATCTGATATTTTGACACTTATTTTATTTTCAGAAAATGAGAGATAAACTAAGACATGACAGCATAGCAAGTTATTTTATTAAAAATATATTTTTGTGCGAGATACAAAAGCAGCCACCAGAATTTTGGAATCAACCATTGAGCTATGTTTTCATGAAAGTAAGTAATTAATTAAGGCTTCTAATAAATTATTCTTTGTTACTATNCCATAAGTAAAAATAAATAAAAATTTTGAATGTCACATTCCCTAAAAAACATTGGTTATATGCAATATAAACAAAAATAACATACCTACACGAATATATACATACACACACATATACACACACAAACACAAAAATTTTTTTTAATGCCAAAGTAATGTATAAAAACACAATGTTATCCAGATTGGTACTGAAGTACATAGAGGATGACAGTGTTCCATGTAAGTGACAATTTTTACCTTTCATTTAGTATATTCTGTAGAAATTCTGTGAATTGTATCTGATTTGTTTCCGTAACGAATGTCTGGAATACGAACCGAGCAGGGAAAAGTGTTTTTTGTATATTTCAGTGTTAGTTAAAAGTATTTGTTTCAAAAGAATTTTTCTTTCGTGTAATTCAATGTTTATATGAAAGTGTTTGAAAGTTACTTCTTTGCATGATCTACACATGTATCTATAAAGTTATTACTTTTGAAATTGATTGCTTCCTTCTTTTCTTCGGAAGATTCGCACATTTTTTGTATTAAGATGAAGTAATAGAAAGCCAAAAACTTTATTTCCCAAAAATTAGTCACTCCTAAAAATATAACCATTTCAATTTAGATTTTTTTATATGTATAGGATACATAATAATGAGGTTGAAAAAAAATGCTATCGTTTTATTACCTTGAAATTAACACTAATTGATTACAAAAGATGCTTCTACATGAAAAATGAAACTGTATATATTTTTTTACCACTTTTAATTGTAACTAACGTAACTGCAGTTTTGTCCTATATGGACATTTTCAAACTAATATAATAAAACAGGTTTATTGTATTAGTTTGAAAATGTTCATACAGGACGAAACTGTAGTAACGTTAGTTACAAATAAAAGTGGTAAAAAACATAAATAGTTTTATTTCTCACTTTTCATGATGATCCACACGTAGTAAAGGCTTCATCAATCAATTTATGCTTCTAATTTATTTCTCTTTCCATTGAACATTATCTTCGCAAACGTTTAGCGAAATTTAAAAAAGAAAAGTCATTGTCTTGAAAATTCAAGTAACTTTCATATGAAATGTCCCAACACGCCTCTTTCTATTCGAAAATAAAGTTGATAGCGTTCTTTGTCAAAAAGTACTCAAAATGATTCCTTTTCACAAAAATTGTGCCTGACTTTGATATCTTGCACCATTCGAAAGTTAAGACATGGGGGAAAAACTATTTATTTCTGCCCTGTATAATTGATAAGTGTAATATGATACGAATAATTATTACAGATGTTGAAGATATATCAAAAACAAATTGAAGATAAGACGATACCTTTCTATTGGTATAAAAGTGACAATCTCATTTCACACGTTGATCCAGCTGTACTGAATAACATTAATCAGAAACTTGTGGAGATTATTATAAAACTTGAAAGGCGACCTTCCATTCCCAAAGTTGTTGGAAAGTGTTTTCGTAAGTATTTCTATTTAATGAAAATGATTTATTGCTTTCTACTTTTTTCCTTCTATTGGTATGAAAGTGACAATCTCATTTCACACGTTGATCCAGCTGTACTGAATAACATTAATAAGAAACTTGTGGAGATTATTATAAAACTTGAAAGGCGACCTTCCATTCCCAAAGTTGTTGGAAAGTGTTTTCGTAAGTATTTCTATTTAATAAAAATGATTTATTGCTTTCTACTTTTTTCCTTCATTGGGCAACTGAGCAACGAGAAAGAATCCTAGAAAACAATGAAAATGTTTACTGGGACATCTCATTGTATAATTTGAATGTGATCAAAGACTTGCTGAATGAATGCTGTAGACATGCCATTCTTGTTTTTATGAAACCGTTGTTGAAACTTCAAAGATAATATTTAATGGTCTGAAATTCAGTTGGATTCACATTCCTTTTTTTATATTCCTATGGTGACTTCTCATCGTCCATGACAAGTGTCAAGTTACTCCAATGAACGAGAAGAGTTTGAAGAATTTTCGAGGACCTACAATTTGAGTACATACCGGGTCTCCAGTCAAAGCATATTTGCTTGATATATAAATAATACACTCAACTAATCTCAAATTCTACAAATGTAGTTGAAGTAAAATACAAAAACCACTTTTATCACTTATAATCACAACATAGCACACAAGAAAGTGGCAAACCATCACGTGTTTCAGGCTTTTGGCCCATCATCAGTATGGTGCAGCCAAGTGTAAGGATGGGCAACACTTGGTTACCAAAAGGTAAAAATACAAATGCACGGAGCCACCAGCAGGAGCCAAACGCACATTTGTGATTTCAGTTGATAGATCTTGTGTTTACAAGAAAACTATGAAAATCACCACGGAGGCAGCTATAGCTCCCTGCGTGACATCTGGGTCCAGGAAATTATACAAATATGAAAGTTATTGACTGTCTTGATATAGAAACAGAAGTTAATAATCTTGAGAGCTATGTGCGATTATTAACTTCTGTTTCTATATCAAGACACTCAATACAAAACACGTATTGTAAGTTCAAAAACACTTGAATAAATAAGTATCGTGAATACAGTTGCCAGTTCTCACACAGACATACGTAGATCTCTTTACTCTATTGGTAACATTTTTCAAAAACTATAATGTTGACTAGCTAACTTCAGGGACTTCCTCTCCGATCACGAGAGGGTTGATCTGATAACGACAGTCCTCAAATATGGCACGTGGATGTCTCAGACAGCTGCGCCCCCGGACAAAGCTTCTGTTCACTATGGACAAGAGGAGTCTGGCCAAATGCGCTCGACCGAGAAGCAACGGCCATATAAATTTAATAAGAAGAAGCTAACTTCAGGGTGTCGGTTTTTCGTGACGGTGTGCGCGCACATCGTAAAAATTTACTGTCATCATTTTTCTCTAACGCGCCAAAAGACCCTTCATAGCCAAAAGAAGTATAACTTCAAAAATTAGGTAAAAGTAATATGCCACCAGAAAGGTAACAATAACTAAGCTTATCGTTTTTTGAAAGAACCCACAATACTTTGTTGATACCGGCGGAATAAATAGCGGTGCTGAATCCAAAACAAACACTGCAACATTCTACTTGCCACTCGTTCCTTCAAACAAGCTGGCTTCATCAGAAGAGGACCTATACTGAAAAGTTCATAATATAGTTCATCTTCTGATGAACTATATATCACCAACTTGGCTGGTGAAACACATAACAGAGGTTCCAGTTCTACCTTCCAGCGGTACTGAATAGAGAAGATTGGGACGGATCATTGGCATGAGTGAACATGCATGAACACTTTTTTATTTTATAGAAAGTATATTACAATAAATAAATAAGAATACATTTATTGAACGTTTCAATGTACAACCAACATGCCTTCAAAAATAGTAGTTAAATTGTCTCATAATTATCATATTGTCCTTGGGAGTTTAATATAATTATCTTAGATCAGTGAAAATAACTCAAGTAACGAGTGATTTTGCGTGGCATTCCAATTAATTTTTTGTTCAAGTCTGTCATATAATATACTAGCGACTCGCCCCGGCTCCGCACTGGTGCAATGCTGATACTAACTATAAATTCATCCACCGGAAATTTAAGGTCATGGAGAATCAGTGATGAAAAGGTAACTTTTATTTTATGAACGCGACTTTTTTCTCCGCGGCTGGCTCCCCAGTTGGAATATTTGAGTTTACTTATCGCACAGCTACAACATAAAATGAACCTAAACACAAAATTTCAGCCTCCGAGGAAACGGAGANCTTTGAAAAATGAAAATTCACCTCATTATTTGAACAGACCTCGTAGAAAGACATGATAGTCGGACAGAATCAGATCTGGTCAATAAGAGGGGTGTTCTAGCAATTCGTGATTTAGGGTTCGTGGTAACATGATTTGTGTAGGATCGCATGCGAATGACATTGATCGTAAATGCACGTCTTCGTAAATCTGCGTAACTCTTAACCCCTTGATGGCTCGATACTCCAGTTTTCACAATTTCCGTCGACACCCTTTTTTTCACATTTCATTGCACAACTCTGGTTTGACTTTTTGTCATGAAGTTCCACACTGACGCTTCTAATAAATTATTCTTTGTTACTATGATAACACTAGTAATGAATGTTTGAAGGTGATTGACAATGTTTCATGATGAATTTCACTAGTTCGGACTTCCATTGTCTACTATATAAACTGATTTGAAATCCCTGGAATAACTAAAAAAAGAAGAATTAAAAAATGAATAGCTGAAAATAACAATTATATTAAGCAAAAATAAACCTGAAATGAAATAATAGTGAAATAAAATACATGTAAAATAGAACAATTGAACAAAAATAAATAAAAATGAAGATGACAGTCATCGGGTGATGACTGTCATCACCCGAAGACGATTGTAGATACTAACAATCGAAACGTCGTGAACTAACGTGACTTGGAATCTCTACACTATTTTATTTTATTATTTTCTTTTTTCATTCCTTTAATTTTT